CAACCTTCTTGTGCCACTCTCGGCCAGGGCAAAGTGACGTAACGGTGGTCATCATATTCAACGACAACATCTGCAATCTTACGACTACTCAGGGATTGATATAAAAAAAAGGTTGTACGAGTGGGGATGCGAGCTGGTGTCGTATTGGAGGCAGCGGTTAGCACGACCGAGTGATCAAGTGGTGGGAATAGAGTGCATGGATACTTTCTCTCTGCGATCCAATCCTTCAGACCGGACCCTCCGCCGCCACTACTTCTTGTCCTTCACCACTTTCATCCTCCCCGTCGATGAATCGCTTCTCTACTTTCTCTCTCCCCTCCAATCTTCCTGTTCTCTACCCCTCCGGGGTCGATCATGAACTCTCCTTAGAAATTTGTCCTATAGCCATACCTCCTTTTTGCTCTGTTGGCTTCAATTGATATTGGACCAGATTCCTGGCAGCCAGTTGTTGCATACTCTACATGACAGCACAATGGGCGCAATATTACCAGAACCGAGAGGTGATCATCCCGAACGAGGTCACTCTCCTTCTCGTGCAAGCGTCGCAATCGCGAACGAGCGGACTTCTTGTTGGGCTTTTTTTTGGAGAAGTGGAACAAGGAGGAAGAACGACCATCACTAACAAGATCCTTGTGTTCTTGGCATAAATCGTCGACGACGTGCCCCTCAAAATCATCTTTTTCAATCTGAGCGATCCAAACCAGACGAAGTCAGTGACCCTGGAGCGAACGCTAACGCCAACGGTTATCCGGGCGGGTTGCACGAAAGAAGCGGGGCAATTCTTGAATGCGCATGATCCAGCCACCTGGAACTTCCTAAACCTGGACGAGCTCTCTCCCAACAGCTCGGAGCTGGTGGATTTCTAAACAACTCATCGTGATAACGGGAAGGTACCATCAGGCGGCGATCTTGAGCCGATAGTGCTCCTTGACCAAGATGAGAACACAAAGAAGAAGCAGAAGCGGAATCCACGTCGGAAGAGGAAAAAGAGGAAGAGGAACCATCGACGGGAAAGCCTGAAGAATCGTCCCAGCTCCATCATGAAGCGCCCCCAACAACTTTGCGGCTAGCCAGACCAGCGGATTCTGCACAGAATCCTGAAGCCGCTAGTCGCCACGATGGCGCAGAATCCTCCCGCCGCCGCCGACGCCGCCGCCAATCTCGCTCACCATCTCCCTCCTTTGCCACCCCCTCGACAATTCAGCCCCATCCTCCTCCCCGCTCGAGTGCTCCATCCACGTCCCATCTTTCGCCGCCCTCTTGATTACCTTTCCTTCTCTCCTTTTCCCCACATCGACTTTCCCCTTGACTACCGCATCTTTGCCAGCCAGCTCTTCTATCGCCACCGATCAGTTCATCTCCTATGGCAAGTCCATCCCCATTGCGCTCCCTCCTTCCTCCTCCAAGTTGATTAATATTGCTCTAATCAGAAAGAATAATGCCTACTTAACTCAGTATTGCTTTCATAAGGCAAGAGTCATTGGTTCAAGTCCAATAGTAGGCAATTGAAGTTATTTTTTTTGTCTTCACATGGAGACGGTACAACCACATGGAGTTGTATTGTATCATTTCTGGAACCTTCCCTGCAGTGGAAGATTACGAGTCCGTACGCGATAGTACTCTATGCACGATTCCCACCCTCTACGCTGAATACCTCGCCTCCCTTCCCCGACTCAATCATTGATTCCCCCATACCCACTGGATTGTTCACTTCGTCGATCTCGACGACAAACCAAGCGATCACTTTCCCCCACTCCCATCGCAATGGCCTTGACCACCGCCTTCCCCTTTTCTCGTTGATTATAATCGGGCAGAGCATCAGTGAGCCGGCGATAGCATCAAAGTCGAACCATCTTCCTTTTCCTTTTCCTTCCCTCTCCTCTCTCCCCTTTATCATTCTCCTTTGTGAAAACTAGATTTCACAAATGCAATTATGAGATCGCATAATTTTGGAACCCCCTAAAGATGTGACGTGCCAACTTTTGTGCCTACTGTTGTGCCTGAACGAACTTTTGAAGCCTTGTATTCGATTACTTTTTTCCTTTCGGCCATGAACGGGGTACCTTCTTTTTGGCAAGCAGGTTATGCATGGAATCAATGGTTGTCGAGACCTCCCCACCTCCACACTCCTCGGCATTTTCAGAATTTCCTTTGTTTTTTCTTCAAGATCCATGAATTTACGTAGGAATTACGTGCGCACGTCACATATGTGACGTGCCAACTTCTGTGCCTGAACGAACTTCTGAAGCCCTATATTCTACTCTTTTCCTTTCGGCCATTAACGGGTTTGGGGGTACCTTCTTTTTGGGAAGCGGGTAATGCATGGAATCAATGACCATCGAGGCCTCCCCACCTCCAAGTATTTTTGTTTCCTCGGAATTTTTGGAATTTCCTTTATTTATTTTTTTCAAGATTCATGAATTTACGTAGGAATGACGAGCGCCTTAGCAAGCGCACTAGGAATTTTGTTCAGCAGTTGGGACCTCCGGAATTTGTGGGCGCACTTCCCGCTGATCTGTCCTTTCTTGTACATGAGTGTTCCCAAATCCACCCTAGGAAAGCTCCATGAATTTTCCCAAGAGATATGAATAGACGTAGGATTTTCGCACGTTTAATTCTGCGTGCAGATATTGCTTTTGAATTTTTCAAATATTGAACTAGTTTTAGAGCTGCAGTGGACGGAGCGTAACTGTTTCGGTGCCTTTTTGTTTCTGCACCAGCGCCATGCATGCAAGCTTCCCCTGCCTCCCACTGTATCCCAAGCCATCTTCACCTTCAGTGGCCCTAGCATCCGTAACCGGCCTCCTGGCAGCAGCCTCTCGTCTTCGCCTAGCCTTATCTCCAGGCCCTAATGCTTGAAAAACATAAGATAATCTTCAAGCATCTCTCCTAGTCAGCCATCTTTCAGCTTCCTCTCCCTCACTATCTCCCCACTCATGCAGACAGTAACTACTTCTACCTACACTAGAAGAGCCTGGTCCTTGTCCTACACTTGAAGAGCCTGCTCCTTGTCCTACACTAGAAGAGCCTGCTCCTTGTCCTACCGTGGTACAGAAGTAGACTGGCCAATAATAAACAAAGAAATAATTATACCAGGCTCCAATTAGGAGGCTGACCCAGCTGTGGTACACAGACATTTAAACCTATGCAAATCACAAATGTTGTCCAGTCAGTTCTGAACTTGAAAATGCACCTACTAAACAAACTAAGTAGATTTCTGCCATAGCTGTATACCATCAATTAGGACCAGCAGTCTGTCCAGATAACTAATCAAATGGAAGATGCGACTTGCTTCTTACAAAATACATCACATGCAGAAAATAGAGCTGTAACTTACCCACTTTCTGAATTTCCCACAGATTATCACTGCTGAATTTCCCACAGATTATCACTGCAACATTATCGCCATTATGTGCACATCTCCACGAAGCGGCCAACTACCGTCTTCACCCGAATAGAACGCCCGGTAATTATCGCCGTATCTGGGCTGAAAGTTGTGCCAAATGCAGCTATAATGACCGGGCGTTATATTGGGGTGAAGACGGTAGCAACGACGATTAGATACAGATCACATCTCCACGAACCGGCCAACTAGCAAAGACGATCAGATTAAACGCCTGAATCTGGACGTGTTTGTGAAGATGTGCACAGAATTGCACTTGATCTGCTTTTCTACATCTCTGCACAGATCACGTCCAGATTCAGATTGGTAATCCAATCCTCTTTGGTAGTGGGACCTCGCCCTGGACGGCCCAGAACCACCAACGATAGAAAACTGATCGATCATCGATCAAGCCGCTAGCATCTTCCTCCGAACAAAACATACCGGCATCGTGAATATATACAAGCTCGTGAACGTATACAAGATGTCTTTCCGGCCAAATACAGTCATGACGCGTCGGGACATATGCTGATGTTAACTTTGCATTGGCCTCACTATTCTCAATTCAATTCAATTGTTAATTTAGTATTTCGGTACAGGCCGCCTTTTCTCCTGCATTTCAAGGAATTTTTATTATTTTCAAAATCGAGCGGAGTTGTTTTTTTTTTTGTTTTTTTTTTTAATTGGACCATTTCTCGATGTATGTGTGTCATCCTTGCGCAGGGGCCATGCTAATCTTCACTCTCTGTATCGTTCCAATTTTAACAGAGGTCCCGAAGGACAGGGGTTTGGTTTCTTTTCTTTTCTTTTTGTTTTTTGTTTTTCTTTTCCTTTTCTTTTTCTTTTCTTTCCCTTTTGTTCAAGATGTCCAACCACGACTAAAAATAAGAAAATTTCTCTCTCTCTCTCTCTCTCTCTCTCTCTCTCTCTCTCTCTCTCTCTCTCTCTCTCTCTCTCTCTGTGTGTGTGTGTGTGTGTGNTCTCTCTCTCTCTCTCTCTCTCTCTCTCTCTCTCTCTGTGTGTGTGTGTGTGTGTGTGTGTGTGTGTGTGTGTGTCTGTCTGTCTGTCTCTCTCTCTCCCCGATGATGCTTCCGTTCACGCAAGATTGCCGGCATATTAATGATGACGTCATCATCGGCGCCCTCCAAAAATGTCCAGTCGACGCGAACAACCGGGGTGAGGTCCGACTAACACAAGAGGATTGGATTTAACGCCTGAATCTGGACGTGTTTGTGGAGAGGTGCAGAAAATCGCGATTGATCTGCTTTTCAGCACCTCTGCATAAAACACGTCCAGATGCAGGCGGTAAATCCAATCATCTTTGCTAGTGCGACCTCGCTCCCGTTGATACAGAACAGGCACGACCACGATCGACGCCGTGCCTTTTTCCCGTCGCTTATTTCCCTTTCTTCTCGTGGGGGGTGGGGGGTGGCGGGTGGGGGGAAGCAAGACCTTCATTGCGAAGGTAGCTATGCTTGCAGGAGTCCCCTGCACACAGCGTTAGGAGCAGCTGTTAGGGAGGGAGGTAGTGAAAGGTGAATTGAGAGAGCAATATAGCTTAATTAGAAAATTTTAAAGAAAAGTGGAAAAAAAAAAAAAAAGGGTAATGTCCACTCACGCAGTTTCCATCCCGTCTCCGACTCGAACTGTGCCAGCTCGGCAGATAACAGAGCGCGCTTGGCGGGAGGGATCGACCCGGCAGAGTCGATGATTGCAGTCGGGGCCGTCGGGATCCCAGGTCCCGGTTCCGCGGTGGCCAAGGCTTGCCCAACGCTTAGCACCTCCCCGCCCGCCGAGAAAAGCAGTGACGCCGCCGCAGCCACCGCCCACGTGGCAATCTGTCGGCCGACCAGGCCACCGCAGGACATCACATCCCGATCCCGATGTGGGCGAATATCAATCGCTCCTTCCCTCTCTCTCTCCGCAGTTTGTTCACATCCTCCTGCACAAGTGGTAGAGCCACCTCCGCGCCCCTCGTCCCTTCTCCCTTGCGCTCCATCCCCTCCTCCTGCCCCCTGCGCAATCGTCGCTGGCCGTGCTGAGGTCAGCCTGCCATCCTCGCTGCCCACGAGTCCATTAAAAGCAGCAGCCTCCTCTATCACAGCACCGCGATTGCGATCGGGATATCTGCCATGACAGGCTCCTGCCACGTGGGCATAATCGGCAGCAGCCCTCGATCGGCGACCGGGTTTCGGTAGCAGCGGGCCATTCCTCTCGTGCATGCAAACCGGAGATTTGAGCGGTCGGCGACCGCCCTGGGATGCAACAACCGCCGCTGCTCGGCTTGCGCGCTGACGGGCCGCTCGCCGGCGACCGCCGGACGGAAACCGTGGTGGGTACCAAGCCGCCCTTGGGTGGGCGGTCGGCGACCGCTCTCCACCGTTATGACCTCCGCCAGCCAGATCGGGTACAGACGAATGCCAGGCGGACCCCGGACAGATCGCCTGCCCTACCCGTCTATGCTGTTCCCGAAATGACACGTGGCGGTCATCCATTCGCTGCACTGCCTGCCCGGACGATGCCATCAATACACTTCCGCTGCCGAGTAGCAATACGACCGCCATCCTTTAACCGCCTGTCAATCAAATACTTGTTATTTGGTTAAGTTATTACTAGTTTATTAACTTGTTATTCAATCAAACATTTTTGTGCACTGATCTGAGGATCAGATCTGCTAAATAAATCCGACGTGTCACGTCGTTAGCGCTCTCCACATTCCCTTCCCTTCACCCTCCCCCTTTCTCCCTCTGTCTGATGTGATCGGCGGCCGTCGTCAATCAATCTCTTGCATTAGCCCTCCAGGCTGGAGATGTATCTGCTCAGCGGTATGGTAGCAAGAGTCCACGACGTACCCTCAAGAATTTTGCTTTGCCTAAAATAACGAGAGAGAGAGAGAGAGAGAGAGAGAGAGAGAGAGAGAGAGAGAGAGAGAGACGTCGTTAGCGCTCTCGACATTCCCTTGCCCCCCACCCTCCCCCTTTTTCCCTCTCTCTGATGTGGTCGGCGGCCGGCGTCAATCAAGCTCCGGCATTCGCCGTCCTTGCTGGAGATGTATCTGCTCACTGGTATGGTGGCAAGAGTCTACGCCGTACCCCGAATAATTTTGCCTCGAGTAAAATAACGAGAGAGAGAGAGAGAGAGAGAGAGAGAGAGAGAAGGAGATTCCACGTATCCGGATTGTGGCCGTCGATCTTCGTACTCGTATTCCAGGGTTCAAACTGAACAATCGAGGTTAAGGGGGACATGTGGACCTCAGCCTGGGGCAAGGTCCCACTCGTGCAAATTAGGAGATTTGGGCCGTTGATCTTTGCTATGTACGGTCAGTATCTCTTAATTAGTGCAAGTGGGACCTAGCCCCTGGAGCGAGGAAATCAACTACCACGTCTGTAAGGGAGGACCGCGCTTCGCTAGCAGAATCCGCGTGATCTTGGTTTGCTGAGTCGACGCAAGAACTATCTTTCATTTTTTTTATTATTTTTTTATTATTTTTTTTTTTCTGTGTGGTCCGATGGACCACGGATCAGATATTAAACTGATCAGAACAGATGCAGTTGGCCGTTGGCTTGATACGGCACCCTCTACATAAGAAAGAAAGCAACAACAAAACGAGAGTTCAAGCTTGATACGACACGCTCTACATAAGAAGGCAACAAAATGAGAGTTCAAACCCAGCCCAATCACCTGCCTCGTGGACCACGCAAGCATTCGCACTTGGGTCCTATGTAGGCCTGGGATACCTACCCGCTTATAGCCAATTGGTTGTTAACTGTCAAGACACATCCATAAAATTGACTGCTGATGCTGACAACCAATTAGCTCAGGCCTCCTCCCACTGTCACAGCAAGATGCCCCAGAGGATAAACCACCAGTCCGTCCAAGCCTCCTTTTTCCAGCCTTTATTGCGGCCTGACACCAGAAAAACAAGAAACCAGCGCGTCTTTCTGCCCCATACTGCCAGCTATATTCCATCCATGTGGCCTACACGAAAAAAGGACGAAGGGCCTCATTCCACACCACTGCACTTCACTTGAAACTCGAGTGTGCACTTGAGCCACGGTTCACCGTAAATGTCATTAAAAAATACTTGAAGCTGGCACCCTTCCACTCAACCCTGGAGTCCGCCCTTGAAATGAGCGGGAACAGCTCCGGAGAGGTTCAACCAGGACAGAAGCTGGCACCCTTCCACTCAACCCTGGAGTCCGCCCTTGAAATGAGCGGGAACAGCTCGGGAGAGGTTCAACCAGGACAATGGCGTTAGAAAAAGGAGAATAAACGGGGGGAAAAAAAACATCGGGGTGTTCTACACATACCTGAAACCACCTCGTGCCACTCGCTTGCACACTTCTCAAGGGCAGCTCAAGTGTGGCCCGAGAGGTCATTTGAGAAATCACCTAGTTTGCCTGGGCTGCACTTGAGCCGCCCTTGAGAGTTTCCCGCCCGTTTGCTAATCCCAAGAACCTAATGACGTCCCGCCAGTGATTAGCAAAACTCAAGGGCACCATGGAACGGTGTTGGGCAAGAAACCGTTGAGTTTCGAGTGGTGTGGAACGAGGCCACAAACCCCTATGAAGGACCGGTAGAAACAACGTTGAAAATGACTCTCGGGTGGACCCCACTGCGGTGCGGCTGGAAAAGACGTGTGGCCACAAAAAGCGGGCAAGTTTTTTTGGAAAGTTGGAAAAGTGTTTTTCCGGGACCACACCGCCGAGTGCGTTTTGCGGTAAAGCGGTAGTTTTTTTCCGTAAAAGGAAAGTTTCGTGGGTGATGTCCAAAAAAGGAAAGTTGTTGCTGTCCAGGAGGTCGTGGCTGGACCTCAGGAAATGGGCGTGCCCGTGGATGTGGGTGACACGAGGCGGCACGTGCGGGACCTAGTGCGGCACGAAACGGGTTCGAAGGCCTGTGGGGGTGTCAAGTTCCGTTGGTGCGGAAACCGACTCTGGTACTGCACAGTCGAAGTGACCGTTGGCAGCCAACCAATACATCTGGGGTTCCTGATGCTGGACAACAGTTGCCCATGAGCGGCAACAGTGTTCTCTCGCTCGCATCGCCATCGCCGTTTCCCACCCTCTGTGATTGAACGTGGGATTTGGTTGTGCACGGTGGTGACAGGGAAGCCGTCAACTTCTTCGGGGTTGTGGCCACTGCACGATTTTCGTCATGGTTGTCGTCCCGGTGACAACCAACGGCGGCGATTGGGACGACTCCGCATTCCTCATGGTCTTCACCCTTCTGCAGTGGATGAACCAAAGGAAAGTTGCGGCGATGGCTGTCCTGCAAGCGGCCAATGCTTTGCCAGCGTGCGTGCCCGGTGTGTCGTCGGCCCTGTTGCTTCTCACGGGCGCGGTGATGCATGGACTGGCAGTGGCGGATATGGCCGCGTGTACTTTCGTTCATCGCATGGATGCTCGTAGCCAGGTTTAGGTGTTGGAACGTAGTGACGGGGTGTGAACGGATCTTCAGAGAGAGGGGGGCAGGCACGAGAAAGTTTTCCGATGCTTCTGCATGCTTCCTCGACCGCTGTTCCACGAAGTCCTCAAGCGCATCGCTCCACACATCCAACGTCAGTCTACGAACTGGAGACAGCCTGTGCCGGCAGCGCAGAAGTTTGCATGCGTGCTTCTGCGATGGGCGACGGGCGGTTACTATAGACGGTCCGCCCACTCCCTCGGATTGGGTTTGGCCACTGCTCTTCGGAGCAATGAGGATGTTGCAGATGCACTCATCAGGGAGTACGGGCATCTGCTACGGTTTCCTACATACCAGAAGCTCCAAGAGACGATGGATGCTTTCCATCACAAAGGCTTCCCCAGGTGTGTGGGAGCGATTGATTGCACCCACGTGTCCTTGGAGAAGCCGAGAAACCTCAGGGGGGAGTGTTTCTATGATCGGAACGGGCAATTCTCTATCGTGGCACAAGTGGTATGCGACCAAGAATGCAAGATTGTGAGTGTGTACGTGGGTGTGTCGAGGTCAGTTCACGATGGTCGGGCTCTGAATGTCTCCACTTTATAGGCGGGCGCACCGAGGTGAGGGAGTTTTCGGCACGGGTGGGGAATTGCTTCGGGATGGAAGAGCGATTGGCTTGGATCATGACTCCAGTCGGGGGCGACAGCAGAACTGCGGCTGAAGCGGTATACGACGACTTCCACACCTCTGTGAGGTCGTGCATAGAGTGCACATTGGCATGTTGAAGAATGTGTGGTGTAACATCATCACGAGGCAGATCGGTAACTTGAAAACAATTTGCAAAGAGTTTTTAGAGATCTGCATACTCCACAACATTATGGTGGATGAAAGGGTGCAGATGGATCCCGGCCTGCTTTCTGACGAAAACGACATTGATGGATCCGATGCAGAGAGTCGGCATCCACGTCGACGACCTCGCAGACAAAACCATCCGGCTTTTGTCCCACCTCCGCTGGAAGAGGACGCTGCATGTGCTATAGATTTGGGGAAGGAATTGAGCGAGAGCCTCGTCACGCACGTGTGGCATCACACGCGCGTTCGCGACTGAACCCTTGGGCACGTTGATGGTCGTCTGCCCCATCCACGAAGTAGATGTTGCTTCATTTGTTGTTGGTCCTCTTTATTTAATGTTATTGTATTCTATTTAATTTTGTTTTGTTTTACTGTCATTCACAAGACAGGGAGAGTTTGATTTCCAACCATGATGAAATCAATCTCTCTCTCTCTCTCTCTCTCTCTCTCTCTCTCTCTCTCTCTCTCTCTCTCTCTCTCTCTCTCTCTCTCTCTCTCTCTTTGTCTTTGTGCGTGTGTGTGTGTTGGGGGGGGGGGCACAACCATGAAATCGCAGCAAGAACAGACAGGGACGTAACGCACAAAAGCCTCGAAAACGAAGAAGCTCAAATTATGGAAATCCGAAAACAGTGAACGAATCCCTGTAACGGTTCCGATCAAACGAAAGCAATCACGATGACACGAGCGCTTTGCCGGCCCACTATAGAAAAAGAACATGGGCTTCAGCACCCTCGCGATGTGAAGACATTCAAAAAAACAATTTGAAAAACAAACACCCCTCGCACTGCTCACACGACATGCCACGTGGCATTTCCTGTGCTACATTCGAAAACACATCAACTTAGGAACAATTGTCTGGTCCTCCAGGCAGTCAAAAATAAACATAGCACTGGCCCATTCAACTTAGAAACAATGCCTAACCTTTGGTTGACCCGGACAGTCGCAAGCAAAACCACATTCCTCCCGCCTTCCCCCGATGCAAAACCCTTTTACAATCTGACTTCAAATAAACAAAAAAAATGAAATTAAGTTTGCGCATACATTCCTTTACTTAGCTCTTATTTAATTCCCGGAAGTCGGACGTGAAATCAATAGGGATGCATGCACTATATTAAGTGAACTATAAAAGGATGTACAAGTAAGGGTTCTAACTAGGTTTATAGAACGAGATGATGATTTGCCACTCAGTTACCTGCCTCCAGAACCTCGCCTAGGTTCCGGCAGAGCTCCCGCAATTGGTGGGGCAACCTCCCATAGAGGCCTTGGCATGAATTACGGGTTGCAATACCGCTCGCCGTTGTCCTCTCGGAACCAATAGACTAGACCGAGAGTAAGAAGGGCGGAAGATAGAATCATTAAGTCTCTCAGATCCAAGAGAGGTGCACCCAGACTCGCGTGAGAGGGCCTTGAAA